CATTGCCTACCTATTCCGTTTAATAGTAATTTTTTTTTAATTTTATTCACTAAATGTGAATGAAATATAAAATGAAACATATAAAATGTTAGTTTGCCTTTTTATAAAAAAATCTTATGTTTATAACTATGATTTATTGAAACACCTTTGCCTAATTTAAAATGTGCATTTTGATCCTTTTATTTTTTTTGTTCATTTTAAATCTTTTGTTTCCTAATTGTGACTTATTAAACTTTATCCCCTAATATGCTCTCAAGTAAATAATTTCAAATATATGCTTATCTAAATATTTTTTTGTTCATTTTAAATCTTTTGTTTTCTAATTGTGCCTTATTAAACTTTATCCCCTAATATGCTCCCATTTAAATAATTTCAAATATTTGCTTTTCTAAATTTTGTTGTTGTTGTTAATATTTCTTTTTAAAATGTATGTGTTTAAAAAAATATAACATACTCAATACTCACGCGCTGGGCACTTATTTCAACTAGTACTACATAAAAGGATATCCTTATTTTAAGGTACTATTAGGTTATATTTAGTAGGTAAATTTATACTTTTTCTCAGTTAATAGACGATTTTAATTAAAAAAATGAGCAAAATACTATTAAAAAAGGCTTAAACAATCTAAAAACAAAAAACATAAACCTAAACTACAAAAATGCTGGTTTTGTTTTTGAAAAATTTTAGTACTTATTTTTTTGTCTCTCTTTTTTTTTTTAAGTATATGATCCTCTTCAGAGTATTTTGATCATTTTTCATAGTCAAAATAGACAATTGACTGAGAGAAGATATATATTTAGCTATGCTTTGACACCATATATAGTCCAATTAGCGGCATATATGTTTCATCCAAGAACCTCTCTAAATTATTATATATAGAAATTGTGGTTCTTTAAAGAATTTTCAATGCATTCACTTTATCTTCTATAAAATAAAACCTAAAATCCTTCCACTAATCTCCAACCTCATTAGTCCTTCTTTTTTCCTCCTACCAAAGAAACTCTTATAGAATGAAAAACGATTTATTAACATTTAGCAGTGTAAAACCAACTTAATATCTTACAATCATATTACAATTTTTTTTTTTTAAGGTGTTGATCTTATTATCGCTCACCACCGGTGATAAAGGCTATATATCAATGAAATCAACTTTGTTTAGCTCTAAGTTTTAGGCTTCATGTACCAAAAGGTTTTTGTTGGCAAGTAGAGTTGGAATTCAAATCTAGTTAAAGAATAATTTAAAGTTATTTAGTAAACATTCCAACAATATGAAAATTAAGCTTA